TTCCCGCTTAATTTGATCTTCATCCCCCGCCCCCCCCTTCTGAGGCTGCACCTTAGGGCACCCAAGGCACCCAGTAGAGAAGTGGCACACGAGGGCTTGGAACCCCCTCAGGGAGAGTATGAACACCCCTGGGCAGGATTGGCTGGCACCCACGTGGCTGGAGGGGGACTGGGGTGCGCAGGCTCCTCGCGGTTTGGGGCGCGCGGTCTGGCGTGGACCCTATAGATCCAGAGGAAATGGGCAAGGCCTCCTGGGCGGGGCGGGGCGGGGCGGGGCGGATGGAGGCCCAGGGCCCCAGCCTTGCGCCTGGTGGCCCACCCTTCCTTGCGGCCCCTCTCTCCCCCAGTTCCTGATGACCCCCAACTCCCTGAGCACGTGCTGCGAATCCGGTGGCCGCACGCTGGCCGACTCCGGGCCTGCCGCCTCGGCCCAGGCACCAGTGTACTGCCCGGTCTATGAGAGCCGGCTGCTGGCAACCGCGCGCCATGAGCTCAACTCGGCCGCGGCGCTGGGCGTCTATGGGGGCCCCTATGGCGGCTCGCAGGGCTACGGCAACTACGTGACCTACGGATCCGAGGCCTCCGCCTTCTACTCGCTGGTAAGGGCGGAGAGGGTGTATCTCCAGCCTTCCCCGCCACGCCACGCCCCTACCCCTCGCTTTGATTTGCCAACTCACTTTCCCCAACTCGGGGGGAAGGGGCGCGAGGCCCTAGTCCCCGGGCTGTAGGAGGTGGGAGAAGCGCCTCCAAGCCTGGTCCCTGGGAACATCACCAGCTCCTCCCCCACTCCACCCCCGGTTGGGGCGACCAGGCAGGCGGGCTGCTGTATTTAATGTACTGATTGTTCTCGGATCACTATTACGTTCTGATGCGATGTCTGGTTCTGTGGGAGCGGGCTCTTCTCTCCCCCTCCCGCTGCTTTCCTCCCCCTCCACAGCTCCCCCACCCCCCTCAACTCCTCCTGGACTCCCTCTACCTCTCCTTTTCTCCAAGTCAACCCCCCCCATACACACACACTCGCACCTCCCTTCCCCTCCTTCCCTGGCATCTCACCCAGTCCCCTAGGCGCCTCTCCATTTCTCTCCTCCCTTTCCTCCCTCTTTATTTCCCATCCCTCCCTTACCCTCTTTCCTGCTGCCCCCACCCCTCTCCCCACCTCCTCCCTGCAGTCTCAGCCTCCTGTCTCCAGTTCCTCTGCACCTATTCCCTAATCCCCCAACACACCCCCCCCCCCAACCCCCAGCAGTCTCCTCAACGCTGCCTAGACCCTAGGGGCAGTCTGGGGAAGGGAGCGAAGTTTGCGGGAGCCAGGGGGCCTAGGGGGAGGAGGTCGAAAAAGTGAGGGGCGGGGAAGGAAGCGCGACCCTAGGCTGCTGGGCTCCCACAGAACAGCTTCGACTCCAAGGACGCGCCAGGATCTGCGCATGCGGGCCTCGCGCCCGCCGCCGCCGCGCCGCGGCAGCCGCCGCCTACTACCCCTACGAGCCGGCGCTGGGCCAGTACGCTTATGACAGGTGAGGGGCTGACCCTCTTCACTCTACCCGGGCCCTGGCGCTCCAATCAGCCATCACCCCCACCCCCACCCCAAGCATCGCAGGGCCTCTCTGAAAGGTGGGGAGGCCAGACCAGCAGCATTCCTCTCTTAGGTCTTACTGAGCTGACCAGACCTTGGTCCCAGTCCGCCACCTGGCGAGCCCCAGCCCGGTTGAAAGAGTCTCCAGTCTCCCGCTTGCCACCCCGCGCCCCAAGCTGTCTAGACTCCAAAGTCCTCACTGCGCTGTGGTTTGGGGGAGTCTCATCTTGCTGCCCAGGCCTGGGATGATCCCTCCACCCCAAGAAGTGCAACCCAGCCCACCGCCCCTCTGGTGGGAACCAAAGGGGGCAAGTCCTTTCCCACTAGCAGACAACACGTCCCATCTTTCCAGGGGAGACAGTTACATATGCAGAAAGGTCATGCAGGTGCAGTCTCCCCAGGGGCGCTGAAGACCAGTTCTGCCCGTGGGCTTTGCATAGTCTGGTTTGAAGATATATATGACTAGCGACAGACACCTGGCTAGGCCTTGTGCTTGGCCCCACCCGCCACCTCCCTGGCTCAGGAAGGAGCCCAGGCTCCATGTGAGTTTAATCAAGTATAAACATTCTCTTTGCACTTGGGCCCAAAACAACAGCCCCCGAGGGCAGCAGCGCAGGTCAGAACGTGGGTGCAACCCAGGTCTTACCACCATAAACACATACCCTGGACTGGGACTGGAAGCCTCCTGACGCCCCATTGCGCCCCTTGTCTCCAGGTACGGCACCATGGACAGCGGCACACGGCGCAAAGAACGCCACGCGGAGACCACCAGCACGCTCAAGGGCCTGGCTGCAGGAGCACCGCAAGAACCCCTACCCCACCAAGGGCGAGAAGATCATGCTGGGCATCATCACAAAGATGACCCTCACGCAGGGCTCCCCCTGGTTCGCCAACGCGCG